GGCTCAGGCCCCGTGCTTTACAGTGTCTTCCTTCCAGGAGAAAGAAGAGGCAGCCAAAGGAAGTGCCCAAGGATCTGGTGTTCAGGTGAGAGGCTGGGGGAGCATCGCAGGGAATCACTGTCAGGTCAGTCACATCCGCTGCTCACTGGGCCGGTCAGAGGGTAGAGACAATGAGTTTCCTCAGACAAGCCTCAGAAGGGACCAGTGACCCCTGCAGTGGGACACAGCCAGTTCAAGGACTCAATTCTTTTTTTCTTTAAAATTTTTGTTTATTATTCTTTGAAAATTTCTGTATGTGTATGCAATATGGTTTGGTCATATTCAGCATAATTTTAAAAAATTGATTTTATGTGTATGAGTGTTTTCCTGCATGTATGTCTGCTTTACTGCACACAGTCTTGGTGCCTGAGGAGGCCAGATGAGGACATTAGATCCCAAAAGAACCAGAGTGACAGATGGTCGTGAGCTGCCATGTGGGTGTGGGCGCTGGGGATTGAACCTGAGTCCTCTGGAAGACCAGCCAATTCTCTTAACCACTGAGCCATCTCTCCAGTCCCTATCCCAATTTTATTTATTTATTTATTTATTTATTTATTTATTTATTTCCATACAACAAAGTGCATGGGAAGTGGTTAGAGGATCACTTGTGGGAATTGGTTCTCTCTTTCTACATGTGGGTCTTGGGTATCAAACTCAACTTGTGTTCTAGCACCGGGAATTGCTAAAAGGCAAGAGATTCTAGACTTTGATCTATGTGTGGAAACGAATAAAGGAAGAAGAGAGGAGAGGGGGGTTGAGGAACACACTAGACAGCCTTAAAACTGTAGGAGGGGGTCAGGCGTGGTGGTCCATGCCTTCAATCCCAGCACTTCAGAGGCAGAGGCAGGCTGGTCTCTTGAGTTCTGAGACCAGCCTGGTCTACATAGTGAGATGCAAGACAGTCCAGACTCCACAACAAAACTCAATCTCAGAAACCAAAATAAAACCTAAATAAATAACAACTGAAGACGGTCTGTCAAGATGGTTCAGTCTGGAAGGGACTTGCTATGGAGCCTTATGTCCTGAGTCCAGTTCACAGGATTCACACTGTGGAAAGAAAGTGTGATTCCCACCAGCTGTTGCCTCAAACTCACAGAGATCTGCCTCCTGAATGCTGGGAATAAAGGCATGCCCCATCACCATGGCTCTTGTACTATTATTTTAGAGGCAAGCTTTCGTTATGTAGTCCTGGCTGGCCTTAGACTCTCGGTGCTTCTCCTGCCTCAGTGTCATGAACACTGACTGGGCTTTTGACCATGCCACTGATGGACACTTGCATTGAGTTGTTGTCTGACTTCACACACACACATCCATGCATGCTCCCCTACCTCATTCCGCAAACATACACTAAATAAAGCACGTAATTAAAAAACTGCTAGAGGAAAAGCAAGGCCAGGTGGAAAGGATGTGAGCGCAGATTTGAAGTAACTCAGGTGTGTCCTGTGAATTCACCAGGGGCTTGGAAAAAACTTCTTCCAAACAGGGATGGCACTGAAAGCTCGGAGGGCTCCAATGCCCGCAGCCTGACGAGTAAGTGAGTCTGCGGGAATTGCCTGCAGAGCCTTGGCTGCCCATGGAAAGAGGGCTGTGTTCTCCAAGCCTGATCTGTACCTACCATCAGGCAGACTTTGTGACATGTCTAGAGCAGGAAGGATGCAAACCTAGGCCTTGCACGCCACCATGTGTTCAAACAGCAGAAGTGACTGCAGGCCGCAGTAAGGAAAGGCCTAACACCGGGCGAATCCTGGGAAAGTTTGTGAACCTTGGCTTCTGTGAGGGATTCCAGCAGTCTCAGAAAACTTTGTCACACTGCGGAATGGATAATTTCGCTTTGTGGAAGTCTCACATAAAGAACAGATAAATGGCTGGAAGTGGAGTTACTCAGTCTAGGACTGAGACCAGTCTTGGTGTACGGGCAAGGACTCTCCTGCTACACTGTGAATACATGGATGGGTGTAGTGACGTTGGAGATGTGTCAGGTGGGACTCGGTCAGGTGGAGCTTTGTAAGAGAAAGCAAGGATGCCAATTTACTTCTAAGGGAGACATTTGGAGAGGGTTTGCTGTTTAAGATTTTATTTTGTTCTTATTTTGTATGTGTAAGCGTGTCTCACCTGCATGTGTGTATGTGAACCATGCATGTAGGGGCAGTACTGCAGAGGACAGAAGAAAGTTCTGGATCCCCTAGAACTGGAGTTGTACATGGTTGTTGAGTCATTATGTGGATGTCTAAGTCCTCGGGAAGAGCAGCCAGTGCTCTTAAACCGGAGCCATTTCTCCAGTCCCATCTTCTTCCTTTTAAAGACCGAAAAATGATACTTACCCGTTGTATCGATAGACCACACTTAGTTTATCCATTTGTTCACTGATAGACACTTGCTCCATTACAAATTTTAAATGACATTAATGGTATGCAAGCATGTGTTGCTGTGCACTGTGTGTGTGTGTGTGTGTGTGTGTGTGTGTGTGTGAAGGAGTTGGTTCTCCCTTTCTACCCTGTGGGTCCTAGGGATCAAACCCAGGTAGTCAGGATGATAGGTTAGTGTCTCAGTAACTTTGCCTGCTGAGCTATCTTGTTGACCGTGTCCTTTTTTTTTCTTTTGTTTAAGACAGGGTTTCAGCTGGGCGATGGTGGCGCACGCCTTTAATCCCAGCACTTGGGAAGCAGAGGCAGGCGGATTTCTACAGAGTGAGTTCCAGGACAGCCAGGGCTACACAGAGAGACACTGTCTCAAAAAGTCAGGGTTTCTTTGTATAGTTCAAGTTATGGAACTCTCTTTGTAAACCAGGCTGGCCTCAAACTGACAGAGATCTACCCGCCTCTGCCTCCTGAGTGCTGGGAATAAAGGCATGCCCCACCACCATGGCTCTTGTATTATTATTTTAAGGCAAGCTTTCATCCTTAGTAGCCCTGGCTGGCCTTAAACTCTTGGTGCTTCTCCTGCCTCAGTGCCGTGAACACTGGGCTTTTGACCATGCCACTAGTGGATGCTTGTATTGCTTGCTCTTTTGGGCTGTTGTGAGCCACACTGCTGTGTATGCAGATGAGTCAATAATAATCTTTGACACCCTTCCCCTAGAAGTATTTTAGTCAGGGCACTGCTAAATCAAAATCATGGTAACTCACTACATAGACCAGGCTAGCCTCAAATTCAGAGATCTGCCTGCCTCTACCTCCCAAATGCACTGGGCTTCACTTACTTTTATGTTTCCTGGAGTATATATGGGATGTGGAGGTCAGAAGACAACCGAGGGGAGTTGGTTCTCTCCTTCCAGCTCAAGGCACCAAGGATGGAACTCAAGCAGTCGGGCTCTTTGTGTTGGGACCGTTAACTGCTGAGACATCTTACCAACCCCAAGGTGCTTAAAGTCTTTTTTTATTTGAATTTTTATTTATTTGTGTATTTTATATATGACTGCTCTGTCTGCATGTATGCCTGTGTGCCATCAGAGGGCATCAGGCCCCATTACAGATGGTTGTAAGCTGCCATGTGGTTGCTGGGAATTGAACTCGGGACCTCTGGAAGAGCATCCAGTGCCCGTAACCACTGAGCCATCTCTCCAAGCCAAGTCCTTGTTTGCTTTACCCTTCCTCTCACCACAGCTTCCCAGGGGATATCCCGGCCAAAGACTTTGCCGACCATGTCAGGGAGAATGAAAAGGACAGCAACTGTGGATTTGCTGAGGAGTACCAGGTGAGTGAGAAGAAATGCAACAGAGCTGGCTCTCTCTTGTCCTATTATTTTAGAGGTACGGTTTCATTATGTAGGTGTAGCTAGCCCTTGGTGTTCCTCCTGCCTCTGTGTCAAGAACACTGGGTAAGGGATTATTGACTAAAGCATGGACAACAACCTAACAGTGACTATACCACTGAAGAAAATGGCTCTTCCTTCTCCAGCAACCAACAGCTCCCTGTAGGCCACCTATAAACCTCACCTCCTTTCTGAGACAGGGACTCATGTATTCCAGGCTAGCCTGGAGCATGCTATATAGCCAAGGATGATCTTGAACCTACAATCCTCCCCTGACCTCTTATGTGCTGGGATTGAAGGTGTGCTCCACCACATCTGGTTCACGCTGTGCCGGGGATCCAACCCAGGGCCTTGTGCATGCTAGGCAAGCACTCCACCATATGCTCAGCCCATCTCTTTCAGTCATACATACACCGTCAAGCATGTTTCTTTCCCACTCTCTGAAACCCTAAGGCAATGATGGATACTTGGCTTAATAACACAAGGACCCCCTAACGCCCCACCCAGCACATCTGTATGAGGAACCCCAACTCTACTAAATCCTCACAAGTACCCCAAGGTGGAGGCTCATATGTCTCCGATGTTTGTGAGTGCTAGGGTCCCAAGATTCAGTGGATAAACAGAAGAGGCTACGTGGAGTTGTGAGGGCGTTGGAGGAAGGCAAAGAAAATCCAACACCTTGAACCTTCTCTCTGTCTCTCTGCCTCTAGCAATTGGCCCTGGAGGGTCAAGGCCAGTCTCAAATGGCTGCATCGGCTCTAGAGAACGTATCCAAGAACCGCTACAGGAATGTACTGCCCTGTGAGTCTCTGGTGTCTGGACCTTCACCTGCCTCCCAGGGAATCAGCCAGAACCCCACTCCTGGGTCTTTCTTTTTCTCTGTCTCTGCCTCTGCCTAAGGTATCCTCTTGTCTCCGCCTCCATAGTTCTTGGGTTGTGAGCACACGCTACCATGCCTAACTTTTTGATATAGCTCCTGGATCTTGAACTGAGGTCACTTTACCAGATGAGCTGTCTCCCCAGACCCTCCCACAGCCTGCTTTTCATTGCTGATACTGGTGTGTTTTCTTAGACGACTGGTCCCGGGTTCCCCTTCAGCCCCTCCCCGAGGAACCAGGCTCCGACTATATCAACGCCAGCTTTATGCCGGTAAGTTGGCAGCAGGGTGTGGCACTCAATGAGCCTGGAGAGATAAAGAACTGAAGGGGGGGTGGTCATCTGATGGCCTCCCTTTGACACACCTGCTTTCCTCAACTAGGGTCTCTGGAGCCCCAAGGAGTTCATTGCAACCCAGGGTCCCCTGCCTCACACTGTGAGCGATTTCTGGCGAATGGTGTGGGAACAACAGAGCCACACCCTGGTGATGCTGACCAACTGCATGGAGTCTGGACGGGTGAGAAGAGATTTCCACCCTTGTGCTAAAGCCTCAGGCATCCGCATACATATGCACACACAGGCATATTCCTTCCCCACAGGACACCAACACTGTGCCACGCCACGCCACACCATGCCATGCCACACTCCCCCCCCCCACATACAAACAAAAACAGAAAGTGCACTGCTCTTTGCTGACTGTCCTTGTCTCCCTTCCCAGGTGAAGTGTGAGCATTACTGGCCCCTGGATGCTCAGCCCTGCACTCACGGGCAGCTGCAGGTGACACTGATTAGTGAGGAGGTGACAGAAAACTGGACAGTGAGACATCTTCAGCTCTTCCATGTGAGTCCCTCTCACGCTATCCAGAACCCCTCAAGAGGTCTCCCTGCAGTGTGTGTTCCAGAGAGTCCCCTATTAGGCATAGAAACTTCTGGAGCCTCCCTCCTCAGCCCTCACCTCCTTTCAGATGAAAGAACAGCAGATTTTCTCTGTGCGCCAATTCCACTACCTGGCCTGGCCAGATCACGGAGTTCCTTACTCCCCAGACCCCTTGCTGGCTTTCCAAAAGGTGCTTCGGCAATGGTTGGATCAGACCATAGACGGAGGTCCACCCATTGTGCATTGCAGGTGAGTGTCACCCTCTCACTCTGTCCCTGTCCCCAGGGACTCAGAATCCATTACAGACATGCACACATACATATAATTAAAAGTCAAATAATATTTAAAAGTGATTTGAGGTGGGACATGGTGGCATACCTGTAATCCAAGCACTTGGGAGGCAGAGGTGGGTGGGTCTTTAAGTTCTAGGCCAGCCTGGTCTTCAGACTGAGTTCCAGGACAGCCAGGACTACACAGAGAAATTATGTTCTGAAAAACCCAAACCTCAGACAGGGGTGGTCCACACTTTTAGTCCCAGGACTCAGAAGGCAGAGCTAGTCAGATCTCTCTGAGTTTGAGACCAGCCTGGTTTACACAGAGAGAGCTCCTGGACAGCAAGCACTACATAGAGAAACCCTGTGTGGACAAACAAATCAAATGAAAACAACAAAACCCAATTTGTTTAGGCATTCTTCCTGTGAATTTCAGTTCCAGACCTGTTATTAGCTTTGTGGCCTAGGGCACAAGACTTCTCCTTTCTCAGTTTTCATTTTGTTACCTGTAAAGTGGGTGTGCTGATACATCTTATTTTCATGCTTGGAAACACTGAAAAGATGAAGCAGGGTTCACAGCAGATGACCAATGGATGTGGAAAACCCCAGGCCCAGTTACGGTCCTCCTTTGCTTCCCCGTCCCTGCTTAAACTGTGTCTTGCTGAGTGCTGTACTCTCTGGGTGATCCAAACCCATGCAATCTCAGTACCTACAACTCCAGACTTCCCGCCTCCCTGTCCCGGATGGCTGACCCCTGTCTTGTTCCTTACCTAGTGCTGGCGTGGGCCGGACGGGCACCCTCATTGCACTGGATGTCCTGCTGCGGCAGCTGGAGTGTGAGGGGCTCGTAGGTCCCTTCAGCTTTGTGAAGAAGATGAGAGAAAGCCGGCCACTGATGGTGCAGACGGAGGTGAAGAGCTTTCGGGGACAGCATGGGTGTGGTGGGGGATGTGGGACCCTTCAGGAAGCAATCTCTCATTCTGTGTGTCCTCCCTAGGCCCAGTATGTGTTTCTCCATCAGTGCATCTTGAGATCCCTCCAGAAGTCAGCTCAAGCCCTCGCCCCAAAGGAGGAGATATATGAGAACGTGGCAAGCTTAGTGTACGAGAATGCATCTGCCATCAGGGCCCATGAGTCTGAGGTCTCAGCTTCTGGGTGCTGAGCCCAGACACAAAAATACTCAGGCCAGATCTGGACCTGTCCTGGAGCCCAGATACCTGGACCTCCAAGAGAACTGAGGATTGGAGTCCCAGCCTCCCCAACCCCATGGGAGGAAGTCACTGGAAACCCATCTCCTGTTGTCCAAGGGCAGGAAGGGGCTGATGTACTTCAGCTTGTGGGCCTGTGAGCACTGGAGCCTGAGGGCAGGGGTGACAGGTAGGTTTCCTGTTCTTTGAGTGGAGGTAGCTACGGCCTGGGTTGCAGGCTCTCAAAGAGTCAGGCTGGAACCTGGATTCAGAAGAAGGACTCAGGATCTGGAATGCTACTACCTGAGAAGCAAAGGCAGGCAGGTACCTGCCCCCTTTTTATCTCAGAAACCAAATCAGTCCCCTTTAATCCAAAGCTGAAGGGAGTCCCTTTGCTTGTAGTCTCTGTGGGCCTCATGTCTGTACATTCTTTCCTTCTATATAATTTATTAAACTGTTCTCCCCAAAGGCGGCTAATGGGTTTTTGTCTCTGGAGATAACACTGGGGTAGGAGAGGGGCTCCAGGCTTAAAGACTAAGTAAACATCTATTCAGGGAACTTGAGGAGGACGTTGTATTCCACCACCCCCTAAAAGGTACAGGATTTGGGCTGGGACGATAGCCCAGTTGGTAAAGTAATTGCTTTGGAAACCTGGGATCTAGGGTTGGGCCCCGGAGCCCATGTGGAAGAAGCTGGGTGTAGTGAGTCTTGCTTGTGATGGCAGAGGTAAGGAGACAGCGGTAGGCAGATCCCTGGGGCTTAATAGCCAGTCAGCCTAGCCTACTCAGTGTGTTCCAAGCCAGTGAGACTGTCTCTCAAAACAAGATAGATAGGGATACTAAGATGGTTCATCTGGGAAAGACCCTTCCTGTCAGGCCTAATGACCTGAGTTCAATCCCCAGGACCCCAGAACCCCAGGACCCAGGTGGTTGAAGGAGAGAGCCAGTGGCCTTCAAACTGTCCTCTGACCCCCACAAACCCACTCCTCCATACAAATAAAGAAGTGTAATTTAAGTTTTTAAAAGGTGGATGGCACCTGATGGAAAACATGCTGAGTTGTCTTCTGACCTTCACACACACACACGCACACACACATGAATGTGCGCCACTATACACACTAACACATGTGCACGCACACACACATATGCAAGAAGGATAGGTTGTGTGTTGGCTACAGCCAGGGACATAAGGGTTTTTGCTTCCTGGGATTGGTTTAGGGAACACGATGTCTGAGAGCAGAGATGCTGGCGGCTCCAATTCCTTGCCTTGAGAATCTGGGTCTCCAGAGAGGGGATTTTCATAGGTTCTAAAACCGACTGCCCTGGAATTGCATTGTAAAAGGTGTGTGTGTGTGTGTGTGTGTGTGTGTGTGTGTGTGTGTGTGTGTGTTTTGTCGGGGCTGGCACTCAGTATAGATGTCTGATGACTTAGCCAGACGTCAGAATATTCTAGGGTACTAAGATCAACGTATGTGGGCGCCATGGTGGTTCTCGGGTGTGGCGGGCCGAGGGGCGGAGCAGGGCGTTCTCCCTTCTCCGGGGCAGAACACGCACGCACACATATGCACACATACACTCGCGCGCGGGCGCTCCCACACAGGGGCGCAGACATTAGCCTGGCTAGGCTCAGCCGCGCCCCCACCCTGCCAAGCCGTGTGCTCAGCACACACAGGACAGCGCCATCCACCCACGTGCTGGGGGCGGGGTCCCGGCAGCCCGCAGCACTTCCAGGAGGGTCCTGTCCAGCCACCTAGCAGGTAGGAGCTGTTTGGACCCCTTGTCCAAGCCACATCCTCAGTCCCATTCGTGGGGGGACCGGCGTGTGTGGGTGCGGTAGAGGAGGGTCGCTGACAAGGGTCAACTCTGAGCGGCAGGCTGAAGCCCTAACCGAGGAGATTGCTATGTGGAGAGAAGAGACAGGTGTGGAAACAAAGGGAGCAGGTTGGTAGTCAAAAAAGCAAAAACGAACCGAGAGAGGCAGGCTAGACAACAGAGGGCAGTAGAGGCGCGGATGAGAGAAGGTTGTGGGGGACAGAAGAGGGAAGATGTCCATCTGGGGTCGAGAAAGAAGTGGAGGCTGAGACGGTCACGAGAACAGGTGTGAAGACAGAGTCAGGGTGAGCGAGAGAGACTCATGAGCAAGAGGATGCGAAGGCCCAGCAGAGGTGCTGGGGCAGGTTCCCCACTTTACCAGCAAGAGTAGTGATGCAAGGGGTCCCATGAGGAGGGAAGAGCCGCTGTGGATGCACAGATCACAGGCCGCCCTCCCTGGGCCACGGGATCCCGGACCTGGGTCCCATGCACCGGCACCGCCCGGACTTCGTTTCTGTGCGTCAGTCCCTCCCGTTGTCTTGGCAACAGGCTTGTTGCCCAGCAACCAGCACTGCTATCACCCTGCCTGGAGCCTGGCGGTCGCTCAGGGCAACCTGTGGTCTGCTGGTTCCCACGCCTGCCTGTGCCCACTTCCGGTTCAAGCCCTAGGGAAGAGCGAGGAAGGGGTAGAAGAGAATGGCTGGAGTGGTAAACAGAGAGGGAGTATCCCTCTGTGATGGAATTGGGTCCCCCAAAGCCTGTCCTTGGCATGAAGAGGCTGAGATTAACTCCCAGTGTGCATCAACAATTAGTGGGACTTAGGGTTCTTTGATGCGTGAGAAAACTCACTGGACGCTTTGGGTAGGAGAGGAGTGGGGGAATAGGGTATTTGGGTACCTCTGCAGGAAGCACAGCAGGACCCTGACGCCATGTTCCCGGAACCCCCGACCCCGGGGTCTCCAGCGCCTGAGACACCTCCAGACTCCAGCCGCATCAGGCAAGGCGCAGGTGAGGAACCTCTAGGTTAGCCCTAGTTGAAAGCCTCGCAGGATCCCCAGGGAAGGGTCTCAGTTGCAAAGACTCGGGTGGGTAGTTTGGAAAATCCGGCAGGGATCGTAAGTCGGTAGCTCAGACTAGACTCTGAAATACTGAGGAAAACAAGAAATGGATCACGGGTGTGGCATGGAATGGGATCAGAAGTGGGTGAATGGAAACTGAGGCCCAGGGGTGAGCAAAGCTTCTAAAAGCAGTAGGAGTCGAGCAGAAATTAAACTGGGTGTAGAGACGTCAGAATTATAAGAAAACCAATAATGTCGGCTTGGGTTAGGGCATAAACTGAGGTTTATAGGTGAGATTGGTTGGAAGGAAAATTGGGATTAAAATATGATGGAGTTGGGTATAGGGAAAACCAGGCTAGATTCAAGCTGCTTTATGGAATCAAGACTGAGCTAGCCAGCCACCTTCCCAGTGCTTTGATATATGTCATGTCCATCCTTCTGCAGTGCCTGCCTGGGTCCTGGCTACTATCGTGCTGGGCTCAGGCCTCCTGGTCTTCAGCAGCTGTTTCTGTCTCTACCGGAAGCGCTGTCGGAAACGGATGGGCAAAAAGAGTCAGGCCCAAGCCCAAGTCCATCTTCAGGAAGTGAAGGAGCTGGGACGGAGTTACATAGATAAGGTGGGACACAGCCCAGCCTCTCAAACCTTCCCTTTGCACACACCCCCCACCACCCCGCTCCCGTGAATGTCCTAGCTATCTTCTGTCCTTGGCCCCTTAACAACAACTCCTCCTCCTCCTCCTCCTCCTCCTCCTCCTCCTCCTCCTCCTCTTCCTCCTCCTCCTCCTCCTCCTCCTCCTCCTCCTCCTCCTCCTTCTTCTTCTTCTTCTTCTTCTTCTTCTTCTTCTTTTTGAGACAGGGTTTCTCTGTGTAGCCCTGACTGTCCTGGAACTCACTCTGTAGACCAGGCTGGCCTGGAACTCAGAAATCTGCCTGCCTCTGCCTCCCAAGTGCTGGGATTAAAAGCATGGGCCACCACTGCCCGGCGCCCCTTCACTTCTTAATCCCACTTTATCTACTGGACTCTGGGGATCAGAGCTAGCAACTATCTAGCCATGAGAACTCTCTGGTCTGAGCTGGACATGATGGTGTACATGTATAGTTCCAGCATTTGGGGAGGCCCAGGCTGTAGGATTGCTGTGAGTTCAAGGTCAGCCAGAACTATATAGATTGACTGCAATGCCAATCTGGGCTACAAAGTGAGAGTTTGACTCAATCAAAATGAAATCAGGGCTGAGAACCTAGCTCTGTGCATGTCTATAGCTCCTACAGTTGGAGTAGGGCTGGGGTGGGGGATGGAGGGTGGTAGAGACAGACATATCTCTGGAACACCATGGCCAGCCAGTCTAGCGGAAATGGTAAACTCTACGTTCAATGAGAGATCTTGTCTCAAAAAATAAGGTGGAGAGTGATAGAGAAAGACACCCAAAATCGACCTCCAGCCTCCACATACACAGGAATAGATTGTGTATACCAACATGCACAGGCATACATCACATACACACACACATACACATACACACATACACATACACACATACACACACACATACACACACATACACATACACACACATACATATATACACACACACATACACACATACACACACATACATACACACACACACATACACACACATACACACATACACACATACACACATACACACACATACACACACATACACACATACACACACATACACAGACATACACACACACAGACACACACACATACACACACAGACACACACACATACATATACATACACACACAGACATACACATACACACACACAGACATACACACACACATACATACAAACGCTTATATATACACACACACACACACACACTGAGTCCTATCTACAGCCACACTACTCTAAATATTTTGAAGAACTTACTCTAGCATATGTGTCATATATGTGTATAAATGGACACAGAGAGAGAGAGAGAGAGAGAGAGAGAGAGAGAGCGCAAGGAGTTAGATGGACTCTTCAAAAATAAAAGACTAAGGAGATCTGTCCGTGCTTAAGAGCACTTGTTCACTTGCTCTCTTCCATAGGACTGAGTTCTGTCCCCAGCACCCACATGGGGTGGCTCACAACCACCTGTAACTCAACTTCAGGGTATTCAGTGCCTCTGGGTCCCGCGCAGACCTGCTCTCGCATGCACATGTCCATGTGAAGACACACCCCTACACATAATTTAAGATATAAAAGTAAGTAGTAAAAAGATAACAGGGCTGCCGCGATGGCTCAGCAGTAGAGAGCACTGGCTGCTCTTCCAGAGGTCCTGAGTTCAATTCCCAGCAATCACATGATGGCTCACGACCATTGAT